TCAGCATGGGGGTGAGTAGAAAATGAAGGCTAATCATGTTTTGGGTGTACTATTCCTTTAATAGGACCTGACTGAGATCATCCTTTAAAGGCTGTGGGTTTTTAGATCCTCTGTCTCATCTCACTGCAACTACTCAGCCACTGTCTGACTGCCTCAAAATCTTACTGTAGCTGTTTTTTTCTGACTGTGTTACATCAGCCTTTAGGTCTGAATGTTCACTTGCTACTCAATGTGTCCTGTCAATTGAGCGATTCTATGATGAAACAGATCAGTGTTGTTCACTTCCCCCATGGTTACTGGTTGTGCATTATCAACGTTGATGTGGAAACCCTTTGGTGTTATAATACAGCAAAGTAATCTGAAACCTTTACATAACACAAGTGCATATCAGTTACGAGGGTTGAGATTTTTTTTTTCTAACCAGCCCTCCATTGTTTTAAGCTTCCTGCACAGTAGATCACAAATATTAAAGCTTTAATATCCATATATTAGAAAAAAATGCACAGATCCAATTATTGTTTTGCTAAAGTGTTTCAGTTTGAGCTTTCACCTCCTAACTTTGCTCGTCTAATATGGGCTATCTTTTTTAACTCAGCTGTTTCTTGATTCCATTAATTGTAGATTTATTATAAAAAAATAAAAAAAAAACTAAAAACAATCTTTTAAAACACATTTATGCTTTTTACAGGTTCATGTGTAAAAGAGTGATGGCCGCCTTGGGGAGGGCCTATTACTTCTCGATGGGTTTCAGAGTCGTGGTAAAGGGGAAACAAGCAAGCAACATCGAGGCCCCCATTCTGGCTGTGGCCCCCCACTCCACTTTTTACGATGGGATTGCGTGCGTTGTATCTGGCCTGCCCTCCACAGTCTCTCGGGTTGAGAACCTGGCTACGCCCATCTTTGGCAGTAAGACATTTCTAAACAATGCTTTTGTTTGACAAAAAAAAAAAAAAGATTTTTTTTTTAAACAAGAGTGCTTGAGGGCTTGAAATGTATGTGTGAACTTGGGAAGTTACACAAGTGTGAAACTATTTTAGGTTTGTGTGTTTTTTCTTTTCGCACTTCATCTGACATCATAATTTCACACTGTCTTTTTACATTCCTCTAATTGCAAGAGGCATGTATGATACTGTATGTGGGGTCAATTCTACATACAGGATTCTTCTCCTCATCAATAAAGACACAACTGATGCGTTGTTGCTGATGTTTTACCATCTCTGCAGGGTTTGTCCGCTGTCTCCAACCAGTGCTGGTCTCTAGAAAGGACCCAGACTCCAGGAAGAACACAATACTGGCAATCGAAAGTAGAGCTAAGTCTGAGGGCCGATGGCCGCAGGTTTGGGAACACACTTCAAAAACAGACACTACATGAGTTTTCATGTTTCATATTAAATCTAGCTATAAAATCAACACTTCTACGCTTTTTAAGTTGACTTTGCATTAAGCATTTTTTTTGGTTTGATGCAATGTTTTCATTTTAAATGTGTTTAAATGAGCTTTAAGTGGAAAATTATTATAGTTAATAGAAAAAAGACTTGAAAACATCCCTCTGCTTATTATTAATCTATATATTGTGCCCCCTACGTAAACTGAGTTACTGAAATGAATAAACTTTTGAATATTTGAAGTTATTTACTGTGACTGTGTAGCAATTAAATGCTCATGGTAGACAGCTATTACAAAATTGTGTCTTCACCTCTAGGTGCTAATATTTCCAGAGGGAACATGTACAAATCGCTCATGCCTCATCACTTTTAAACAAGGTAGGTTTTAAAATACCTGTGAATTTAGTAGGCTAATATTAGTAGGATGTTTTATAGATTAAATCACAATTTTAATAAGGCATTTTCCTTTTTCTTAGGTTACTTTGGTCTGATGTTTAAATCTGTTCAAATCTTTGAAGCCAAAGATGTGACAAATGAGCTACTTAAGAAATTTCGACAGTGAAAATATTGCACATTTAAAGCTTTGCATGGGAGGCCTAAAATATGGAAAATGTAAACAAGGTTTTAAATGTTCAGCTTTTTCAGCTCTGGTTTAGAACTGGTTGCATCCTAACATTCCTGTCAGTCCACTATTTTAATGACTGATCTAGAATTTGCTTAGATGTTACTGATTACATTAAGTAAAACACCGAAACAGAAAATAGATCGAAGAAAAATGCACAGCAGATACCTCACTTCCTGTTCATTTTTTTTGTTTATTTGTGCTTCTGTTTTAGCTGTGAAGCCTAGTAAAAGGGAGACCAAACCAAAAACCTCTTCCTGTTGTTCTCTTTGATAAATATTGAATTTATGTTCTTATGTGGTTTTAGTGTAACGAATATCTTATCTCCTCATGCTCTATGTCAGTGTTTCGCAGGGGTACCCCTAGTGGTCGACCAGGGTATTGCAAGGGATACATGAAAATATTTTCTTACTGTAGGTAGTAAAATAAAATAGTGCTGGGATCTGTGCAGCTTCAATAGGACCCTATAAAATTAAACAAGCTTTTATTAACCAGAAAGTATGTTTTTCTGTGAGTTTACCTTCAGCTGTGACACATCAAAACAAGCAAAGGAACATCCTGGAAGTAAAGAACACCCTAGGATTAGTTTAAATGTATTTATAAGGGACTTACTCAGAGGAAGTCCAGTTTTATAAATACGGGTTTATATTATGATTTTAATTTGTATTTATTTTGATTCCTTACTAATTCCCAGCCAACATATTTATGTTGTTTTTTTGTTGTTTTTTTTTTAGATGGAAAGAATACAATGATAAGAATTAAATGCTCAAATTAAAAGATTAAGTAAAGTAGTCTTTATTTTCCAATCAGTTATTGTATGTTCCACTTTTCTACAATCATCAATACTTTTGACTGAGAGGGGTAAGACAAAATGCCCAAAGGGGTACACAAGTCATAAAAGGTTGGGAAACACTGTTCTAGGCTATGAGTTATGTCTAAACAAGGGGTCCGTTTCATGAAGCAGGTTGAACAAATTCAGATTCAAATCCGCAACTCTTGCTTTTTGCTTAATTTAGCCTAAAGTCGGTAATTCTGGGTGTTCAGTTTCACAACGTCTGCTATTAATTAGTTAAATCAAATTTAACTACTGGTAGGTCCACTCAGAATTAAGCGCGTGCGCAAGAAGTATGAAAAGCCATTATCAATGGAGCACCGATTTGACGAGTCACCATGACAACAGGCAACAGGAAGTTTCTATTTTACCTCTCTGGAGATTTTAATGCAGAAAAGCAAAAAATAAAAAAAATGAAATAAAACAAAAAAATTGTTAAAAGACAGAGAAACAGTGCTACAGCTATTAAGGAGAGGAGGGTGGCGAAGGAGAAGATTGTTGCTCGAGTTAATGCATAAAATTATCTGAAGTGGACTATGGCAGGCCGTTTTTTTATATCTTTTAAAAGCACTTCTCTCTGTTGTTCAATTTGTAGATCACTAAAATAAGATTCTTCCTGACTAAAATCACACTCCTAGACCTGTAATAATACATTTTCTAAATAAAATTTTTATAGCAGAAACTGAATTTTAGAGAGTAAAAAAACCAAAATGAAACTAGCAAAAATTAAGTTTCATATATCTAGAAATGTTTACACATTTTTAGTGGCCGTTCTGACATTTATCAGCTTGACTGAATATGTATTTATGATATCTGAAAAACATTTCTTTATAGTTACAATATTGCAAATGCTGACCAGTAATATTAGGAGTATGGAGATCTGATATTAATTTCTAGACATCCAGAATGTTTATTCTAGATGTGGTCACAGGTGTCAAGTAACGAAGTACAAATACTTCGTTACTGTACTTAAGTACACTTTTTAGGTATCTATACTTTACTCCATTACTTATTTACTTTTGACTTCTACTTATTACATTTTCACACAAGTATCTTTACTTTCTATTCCTTACATTTTTAAAACAAACGTTACTCGTTACTCTTGGCTTCGGTTTAAAGCACAGGTCACGGATTAGCGGACTGCAATGTTATGGACAACATTAAATCCAAAGATTTTGTCCAAGGTAAAGCTGATTTATTTGTTGTAGTCTCTTGTTATTCACACACAACAATAAACAGTGATTATCCGACGTGGGTTTTAAAACTGCAAAGCTTTGTCTTCAGCTGAAAATCAAACGCGCATCTACACAGACCAGTGATGCATTCGCGAGCGTCAGACAGCTATGGTGCATTCAAGAGCATGGGACATTTCATACTTA